ACCCAGCCTCCCTCTTCCCTCCCTCCCTCCGAGGCCTCGGAGTGGTCCCTGTGCTCCAAGGGGTTCGGGTCTCCTCCACCAGGTCTCCTCCGTAGGAACAGCTGGAGGAGGGGAGGCAGGAATTTCATGTGGACAGGAAAGGCCACTTCCAGCCTCAGTAACACTGTCCCCGGAGCACCACCTGCGAGAGCACCATGTCGGAGCACCGTCTTTAAGAGTACCCTCCGGGGAACGGCAGAAGCCAGCTACCCTAATTGGTGGACACCTCCTGACTCGAATCCTCAGATAGTACAGGGTGGGAGGGCTCTGCTTGACTGCCCGGACCCCTACCCCCACCCTGAGTGGGGCACTGGGTGACTGACCAGGGGCCCCTCTGTTGACCAGCAGGACTGGCTGGTTGAACTCTGCTGTGTGTGCTGGGGGGCAGATAGGGCTCAGGGAAACTGAAGCCCTGTCTCCAGTGACTTCACCCTCCCTGCCCCCAGAAGCCAGTCTGTCTCGGGGTCAAGTTTGCTCCATTGACATTGTCAGGTTCCTGCTGGAGGCCCAGGTCTGCTGGGTCAGACCTCAGACCGCCTTCGAGGGCAGGAAAGGGCTCAGGGCAGACTTCTTCTTTCTGCGGCCAGTAGAGGACAGCAGAACGGCTGAGCCACTCTACCTGGGCAGCGAACCCAGTGGGAGGCGCTGATTGATGCCTTTTCTGGCCTCAGTTTCTCTGCCTGTAACGCCATGTACACTGAATCACATACAGAGGATGCACGGGAAGTGGCCAGCCTTCACCCCACCATGCTCTCTCAGTACTCCTACCTCCAAGCCTTGGCATCCATCCTTCACCCCTGAAGCTGGGTCAAGGGCAGGAAATGACTGGCAGGCCTCCTACAAGCTATGGGGGAGGGGAGGAGCTGATGCCTCGAACCACTGCTTCCGGGCCCCAACGGCCGCCCAGCCCCACTTGGGCAGGGATAACCTCAAGGGGCACTGTTGGTTTCCCCCCTCCTTTCAGCCCCTGCCCCAGGGCTTGAGCATAGTGGGAAGCAGGTGTCTGATTCTACCACATACACACACACCCAGGCCATCAAGGCCCGCCAGCAAGGGGGCCCCTGGCTAGATGGCTGCCCCCTCAATGCCTGCTGCCACCACCTACAGCCCATTGGCAGGAAGAATGGGCTCTGAGTCACAAATCAGCCCCCTTGCCCAGACACCCCTCCTGCAGACCCTGGGAGTCCCCAGCACTACCTCTCCACCACCTCCACCCTTTAGGGGCCAGGGACAGACCTCGAATAAGACGTTCCTCAGGTATGTCCCTCACTGCCCCTGCCCTGTCCCCAGTGTCCAGGATGAGAGTGGTTCCCGACCTCTTCAGACCCCAAAACACAGCCTGGGGCCCCCTGGGTATCCCCAGACCCTCTCCCTCCACCTCACCCACAACCCACAGAAGGGGGCATGCAGCCTCCCACTTCCCTCCCTGCTCTTCCCTCCCCCATGCCTGATCAACGTCCTCCACCCAGCATCCTCCTTCCAGCAGCCTTCCCAGCCCCTGTGCCACCACCTCCCCCGTCCCCCCTGACCTCTGACCCCATCCTGGCCCTTGCGCACTGGGACTCCGAGGGTCAGGTACAGGTTTTATTTCAGCAGCCCGCAGCCCAGCCGGCTCCCGGACGCCATGGCTCAGGCCTGGAACCAGCCCTCCAGGTCTTCGTAGACCTGCCCGCGCGGCAGGTGCGGGTAGCGCTCGCAGATGGCGCAGAAGCGCTCGCGCCAGTCGTCGAGCAGGCGCACGCGCAGCCGGCCGCGCCAGGCGAGGAGGCTCCGGTAGCTGCTCTCGTTCATGCGGACGAGGAAGGCGGCCAGCTCGCGGGCCGAGCCGAAGTCGTCCACGTGCACGAAGGCGCCCGGAGGAACGAAGGCTTCGTAGTTGGCGCGCGGGGGCCCCAGCACCACCGGCACAGCGCCAGCCGCCAGCGCGTTTCGCCAGAACTTCTCGGTGATGTAGTCGCGGTGCTGGGAGTTCTCGAAGGCCAAGTAGAAGCGGTACCGGGCCACGGTGGGCAGCAGGCAGTCCGAGCACAGCGGCCGGCGGCTGGCGCGGCCAAACACATCCACGGGCAGGTGCGGCGCCAGCTGGCGGTACAGCCGCGCGCGCCGCTGCCGCTCTTGGAAGTTGCTGACCACCCAGGCCGCCACGCCGCGCTTGGTCGGCAGGGGCGGCGGCGAGGGACCCACGCGGGGCTCCAGGCGGCCGTAGGGCACGAAGATGTCCGAGTCGCTCCGGTAGCTCAGCACGCAGTTGAAGACACCGCTCAGGCGACCCAGACCTCGCGTGTGGCTGGGGGACTCCATAGAAGCCCAGACCCAGAGCTGCCCCTGCGGCCTCTCCTCCAGGGGCAGGCGGGCCCGGTGTGTCTGCAGCTCCCGGTGGTGAAAGACCACTACATCCGAACTGGCCAGCAGGCTGCGGTTGGAGGTCAGGAGGCAGTGGGCCACACCGAACTGTGCACAGGTGTCCCCAGGCAGGTCTGGGGGCTGCTTGGCGAAGGGCCAGTGCCAGATGAGAATAGTGAGTGGAGGCCGGGACTCCAGGGTCCCTGTGGGGCCCAGCCCAGGGGGCCAGAGGAACCAGAGGGCTGAGAGCAGGGCCCCCCCAGCCAAGCCCCACCTGACCTGCAGCCTTCTTCTCACCAGGGCCTGCAATGGGGGATGCAGGGAGAAGAAACTGTTACCCCAGGGACACTGCGTCACACCCCCACCCCTGAACTCACGCTCCCCACCAAAGCACTCACGGGCATTTCCACCATGCAGCCTGCCTCCTAGAGTCCTCCAGAAAGCCTGGTTTTAAAATCTCAGCAACTGTCAGGTACAGGTGCCCTGAAACCACAGCTCCACCCTGCTGCCTGCCCTGGGGCACTCCAAATCACAGCTCCACCCAGCCGCCTGCCCTGGGGCACCCCAAATCACAGCCTCTGCCAACAGCCTCCCCTAGGGCACCCAGAATTTGCAGCTTCCCCGCCCTCAGCAGCCTGCCTGAAGCAGACTGTCAGCCCCAACTTTGTGCTGGGGGACAGGGAGGGTTAAGCTTTGGCACTGCCCCCTTCCCCACCCTCCTCCTGTTAGAAGCTCTGGCTGTAGCTGGGGGCGGAGGGGAGGGGACACAGATACTCACTGCTGGCCCATCACGTTGGTCTGCCCATATACAGGTTCGGGGTCCCAGCTGGCATCCAGGAGACTCAGAGGGAACCTTGGGCAGAGGTGAGGGCCTAGGTGGGTGTAGGGCAGGCACCCCTGCCAGCTGTGGCCTCCCCCTGCTCCCCACTCACCGTGACCTGCTGGGGCCCATGCTCACAGCGGGTAGCTCTAGAGCCACCAGCCTTAGGGTCCTCTTGCTAGCTCCAACCAGGCCCAGTGTCCCACCCTGCACCCCTAGGGAGCACCATGGTCTCAGAACTCAGCTCTACAGAGGGGGCCCCCATCCGGAGTGCAGCCCCCAGCAGACCCACTGGCAAAGGGCAGGCCCAGGGTGGGCCAGGGAGGGCCGGGGGACTACCCTGGGGTCTCTGGGTCACATCCTCATCCTCTGGGCCACTGAACAGGGAGGGGACGGGAGGGGGCTTTCCAGACTGGAAGGGGAAGGAGCCAGCCTGTCCCTGACGCAGGCGGGCAGGGGGCTGGCCCTGACCAGGAACAGGAAGGTTTGAAGTTCAGACAACCCACCCCATCCCCCAACTCCCGCCCTGAGGGTCCATTTCCTTCCCTGCTCTGGGCCCTCTGGGTAGGCTTGGCCCGGGGCCTGGAGGGGGCCCCAGAGGCTCGAAGAGGGGACCCTCGCTGAGCCTTCCCGCCACCCCCACCCCCAGCCCCAGCTGGATGTCCCACTCCGCAGTGCAGCTAGGCGGACCTTCTACATCATGTCCTCAGGCTCCTGACCAGGTCCCAGGGAAGGCCCAGCAGCCCACGTCTTCCCAGAGATGGGGCCCTGCTCTGGCCCATCTCAGGACCCACGGGCTCCTGGCCACCAGAGGGACGGGCTAGCATGGGCAGCAGAGCAGCAGGGCGGAGGAGAAGCAGTGGGGCCCCTGGGAACTGTCGCCCAAGGTTCTAGTAACCTGGGGAACTTGCGCAAGACTGCAGCAGGAGGGCTGTGGGCACTGCCTGAGGCGACTGTGCTCCAACCTCCTGCCTGCCCAGGGCCACAGGCTTTAGGGTGCCACTGATGACGGGGTACCTGGGCCTAGCACAC